TAATTCCTTTCTCACCACAACCCTTTGAGTGTGAGACTGACATATGTTAATCCTAAATTTATGAAAGACTAAACTAAGTTCCAAGATGGGTTACACAATGGACGAAATTGTAGGAAATAGCAAGGCTAGGTTTATAATTGTTTTGCTTGACTCCAGGTCACAGTACACTTACTCATTATGCCACACTGAATTTCAGAAAAAAAACAGCACAAAGCATATGACTTTGCCTTAATAGCATCACACAAAGGCAAGCTCAGTCAAATGTGCAGAGCATATACCACAGTCCCAGATGCTGGGACGGTCTACTCCAATTCAGCAATTACCATATTCAACTGCTCCTTATCAAATGTTTCAAACTGCATTTTTTTTGGGTGGAACTACATTTCACAAAGTGTGCCTTGCAAAAAAAATTTATATCTGACAAAAAGAATGCTCTCAGGAAGTTGAAGTGGCCAATTCCAGTGCACAATACTGTAATTAAAAGTCAGAGAAGAATTAATGTAAAGGTAAGAATTTGTGCGATATCTTTACACTCCTTGGGAGTAGAGTCTAGGTATTATGCATATCCCATCTGCTTCTTACATGTTTATCCAAGTGAATATGAGGAAGATTTACCTCTTCATAATATTCTTCATAACAAAACACATAAAACACTTCATAATGCAACAGAAGAAAAAACAGCATTTTGACTGTTTTTCAACAAATCATTACATAAGCCTGAAGATCAGAAAATAGATCAAGGCTGGAGATGCCTTCATAGCATAGTAACACTACAGAGGGTAACTGACAGTCGGAGGGATGAGGGGTAAGTGGGCATGGAGAGAGGAGGATGGGTAAATAAGGCTAAAGGAAGCTTATCCGTATGCCTCAGAATCCCCCCCAGAATTAGAGTGTTACACTGGGGAAGGGAAGGATCATCTTGGGAATACTGCTTACTAGGAAGAGAATAGGAGTGAAATGGAGCAACAAGACTAAACAACTATGTACACAGGAAGTCCCTGCAGGAAAAAAATGAAAAAGAAATGATACCGCTTTGCCCCTCCCTTTTTTTTTTTTTTTTTTTTTTTGAGATGGAGTCTCGCTCTGTCACCCCAGGAGGGAGTGCATTGGCGTAATCTCACCTCACTGTAACCTCTGCCTCCTGGGTTGAAGGGATTCTCCTCCCTCAGCCTCCTGGGTAGCTGGGATTAGGGGCACATGCCATCATGGCCAGCTAATTTTCGTATTTTTAGTAGAGACGAGGTTTCACCATGTTTGTCAGGCTAGTCTTAATTCCTGACCTCGCAATTCGTCTGCCTGGGCCTCCCAAAGTACTGGGATTACAGGTGTAGGCCACCGCACCCGCACATTTAGCCCTTTTTAAAGAGAGAAAATGATGTTGTTAATGTTCTAAAGCACGGCTTTACTGAGACCCTACTGATGGCTGGATTCCCCTGCAGAACTTTTTCTCTGAGACAAGAATTCCAGCATTTTATACATTGTTGGTGTACCCCATGGGAGAAGGAATTTTCTCTTGAAACTCAGGATCCAGGGTTAAGAGGAAGAGTTGTTCAAAACAAACATCTCATCTCCACTAAAAGCAAAGCACCTGCAAGCTAAGCTGTAGCAAAGCAAGGCTGGAAGGAAGATGGAATGGGAAGTTGCACATGGGAGAGTAATCTTGCTTATTCTCTTTATGAGTTTAATTATGGCCACTCCCAAAGAGCTGCCCCGAATGTCATGACCCTTGGGGAAAGGGAAGCAGACAATGGCAGAAGAAAGGAAAAAAGGAAACGGTAGAAAGAACTCATTTCATCTGCCTCATAACTCATTTAATAGCATGGTATGAATAGGCCAGTTATAATTGTTTGGTCCCAAAGCGTTTTACCAAAATGTGAAATTTTCATTTACTCTGATCACAGTTAAATTGTGCCCAAGTGTGGTGGCGCATGCCTGTAGTCCCAGCTACTCGGAATGAGGGTTTGATTCAATATAATCAAAGATGAGGCACGAGAATCACTTGAACCTGGGAGGCAGAGGTTATACTGAGATGAGATTGTGCCACTGCAATCCAGCCTGGGTGACAGAGCAAGACTCATCTCCCTGCCCCGCCCCCCAAAAAAAATTGTGCCCTTAGTCAAAAAATATAATTGATAAAAATGTTAAGTGTTATTCTTTAGTAAAGAAAGCATTGACGGTACTGATTGTACATAATCATCCTCAACAGTTATCATTTATTGAGTACTTATGGTGTCTGTGATTTTACATTTAATCTTATTTAATAGTCCTCTAAATCTATCTGATAAATATTATCCCCATTTTGCAGACAAGGAAACTAACACTCAGAGAGCTTAAGGCTTCGTTTAAATCACACAATTATTTAGGGAAGGTGGGATTAGAAGTGGAACAATCTGTCTCCTGAAATCCTCAATTTACTCCATTAACACCACAGTATCTCTCCAGGTTTTAGCATTTTAAGCTTTCCTCCCTTCCTTCCCTCCCTCCCTCCCCCCTCTCTCTTTCTTTCTTTCTGACAGTCTCATTCTGTTGCCCAGGCTGGAGTGCAGTGATGTCATCTCAGCTCACTGCAACCTCCACCTCCTGGGTTCAAGCTATTTTCCTGCCTCAGCCTACTTACCCAGTAACTGGGATTACAGGCGCACGCCACCACACCCCGATAATTTTTGTATTTTTAGTAGAGGCTAGGTTTCACCACGTTGGCTAGGCTGGCCTTGAAGTCCTGACCTCATGTGATCCACCTGCCTTGGCCTCCCAAAGTGCTGGGGTTACTAGCATGAGCCACCATGCTTGACCCGTTTTAAGTTTTCTACAATTTGACTTCTCCCAGGCTCAATAAAGAATAAGCAATGGCTTAACAGGACTAGTAAGGACTAACTTCTTAGGTGCCTCTGAGATAAAAAAAAAATTGGTTTGTGTGCTATCATAGTTTTAGTTAAAACACCTAATAAAGCCTTATTTGGTTGTACTCATTCTAACCAAGTGTGTGATTTTTGGCCAAGTCATTTAAACTACTTGAGTTTTCATAATTTAGTGGCGCTACAAGGCACAATACAATCCCAGCATTTTGGGAGGCTGGGGTGGAAGGATTGTTTTAAGCCAGTTCTAGAGCAGCCTGGCCAACATACAGAGACCCTGCCTCTAAAAATAATTTAAAAAATTAGCCAGGCATGGTGGTGTGTGCCTGTACAGCTCCCAGCTACTTTGGAGGTTAAGGTGGGAGGGTCACTTGACCCCAGGAGTTCGCAGCTGCAGTGAGCTGAGATCGTACCACTGTAGTCCAGCCTGGGCAACAGTGAGACCTTGTCTCAAACCAGCCCCCCCCCACAAAAGACCAAAAACATAATTTACTCGGACCATTAATAATCAAAAAGATCTGGGTTAATATTCTGCTGCTGTTGTTATCTGTGCCTCCATCCTGGGCGAGTATGCTTTTCTTTTTACAAATCTTACTTTTCTCTAAAGTTGGGGGTCTTGCTATGTTACCCAGGCTGGCTTGAACTCTGGGGCTGAAGTGATCCTCCTGCCTCAGCCTCCGGAGTAGCTGGGACTACAGGCTTGTGCTGAGCCTCTTGGGCAAGTAAATTAAGATCTGAGAGCCACACCTGCTTCCTCTTTCAAAGAGCACTGTCTTAGTTGCTACAACAAAATACTATAATCTAGGTGGCTTAAACAACAGAAATTTGTCGTATTTCTGGAGGTTAGCAGTCTGAGATTAGGGTGCCAGCATGACTGGGTTTGGGGGAGGGCCCTCTTGTGTTCTTGCTGTGTCCTCACGTGGTAGAGACAGAGAACTCTCTCTTCTTACAAGGACACTGATCCCATCATGGAAGCTCTGCCCTCATAACCCCATCTAAATCTAATTACTCCCTAAAGATCCATTCCAAATACCATCACGTTTCGGTTAGGGCTTTTAACGTATGAATTTGGGGGTGACACAAGAGATACTAATGCCCATTTCATAGGGTCCCTATAAGGCCTAAGGCAGGAATTAATATAGGAAAGCCCTTAAAGCCGGGTCTGGCTTGTAGGTAGTTCAAATATTCAACAAACACTGAGCACCTACCTGGAGATAAGCACTGCACGTGCCACATAAAGCTATATTGCAAAACGAGTCACATGCAGCCAGTCTCTGGACTTTTGGAGATTTAGAACTAGAAGGGGACTCGCACATAATTGTATGTGTATGTATCTACTACACACACAGGTGATATGATGCACCTGAGGGAATCTAGTCTTGGAACTAGGAAAGCCTTTAAGGAGTGATACTTGAGCTGCAATCTGAAGGATGAGGAATGGGGAAGAGTACAATTTCAGGTTCCAAAGGGAATCTGCGCAAAAGCTACGAGGCAGCAAGGTGCAGGGGCTTTTAATGACCTGAGGGAACGCCCTGTGGGGTTGGGAACATGAGGGCCAGAGGAGGTTTTGACAAGAGGCTAGTCAAAGAGCAGCGGAAAACGTTAAAGAGTTTTAAGAAAGGGACGTGCTAACATGAGTTTTGTGTTTGGAAATGTTTTAGGCGGCTACACCGTGGTCTCGGGACTGGCTGGGACCTGGGTAGACACTTGGATACCAGCTAGAAAGCTACGGCAGGAAACCAGGTGAGCATGAGGCAACCGGGGATGTTGTGAAGCAGAAACGGAGAGAAATGGGTGCATTCGAGACAAGTTAGGGGGAAAAATGCAAGGACTTGGAAATTAACTCTGGGGAAGGCAGGGAGGCGTGACGGGTTGCTCTGCAGGTCTTACCTGCAAAATACGGTGATCAGTGAAAGATCTGTAGGAAGAAGGTGGGCACACTCTACAAAAAAACATTTTTTTCCCAATTTTATACAAGTCATATTTTAAAAGTAAACCAGATCTTTTCAGACATGCCTTTGGGCTATTTTAAACTAGTTAGAATAAGATACAAACTTTCCTTATTTTTACTCAGCTACTATATACGCCGCAGCTGGGGTGAGAGGGAGGAAAAGGTTGCTCTCCTAGGAATAAAGAGAGTGGTACCTTCAGTATCCCGGGCAAAGCTTTTCCAAGTTCCACAGTAATGAAAAGAGTGCTTTTTATAGATAACACTCAACTAAAAGTTTCTGCGTTTGTGGTTACTCCAACGGTTAAGTTCGGATGAGTCCTTGGAGTCGTAGCCCCCAGGAAACGGCGACTGGCTTTCCACCTGGACTTCATCGTTTCAGGCGGCCCAGAGCGGCTTCAGGGCCCCCCCGCTCTCCAGCCAACTTCTGGCTCCCGACTGCGGCCCCGCCCCTTCGGTCCGGCGGCGCGCGCTCTAGGCCCCGCCCCTGGGCCCTAAGCGTCCGGACTGCAGTTTCAGCCGTCCTGTCCCGCCCCCAGGCACCTAGGCCCCGCCCCCTCCGTCCCGCGGCGAGTTCTCGCGGCTCCGCCTCTAGGCCCCGCGCACCAGGACTTTGGCAAGTTTCAGCCGTCCGGCCCCGCCCCCTCGGTCCCACGGATCTCGCGGCTCCGCCCCTGGGTCCCGCGCGCCGGGACTTTGGCAAGTTTCAGCAACCAGCCCCACCCCTAGACCCCGCCCACTCAGCCAGCGGGTGGCTCTTGCGGCTCCGCCCCCCTGCCGGCCCGCCGTCAGAGAGGCGGGAAGAGCTCGGCCGGGGTTGAGTCGCTGGCCTGCAGCTTCCCTGTGGTTTCCCGAGACCTCCTTGCCTCCGGCTCCCCGAGGAGCCTTTCACGCGAAGGCGCGGCGATGCCGGAGAACTGGAAGTGGAGGAACCGGCAGCCGACGGTCCGCTCCGGGAACGAGCCTTGCTCTGCGCCCGCCATGGATCCGGCCCGTGGCGGGGCGTGGGCCCACAGTCGAGCCGCGCTCCACCGCCTGGAGAAGCTGCTGCGTTGCTCGCGTTGGTAAAGATCGAGTCTCAGGGGGGTGGCCGCGTGGGCACCGGTCGCCCAGTCATGGGGGCGGGGGAATCTTTTCAAATCTTCTGTTTCCTCTTTCCGTTCCCGCGCTGCAGTCGGGTCGGCGTTCAGTTAGCATCTGCCCAGGGATCTAGTGTTACCAACTTTTGCCTCTCATTCACTTTCTTTTGGGGCGACTTCCCAGCCTCCCCTTGCCCTAAATCCAACTGCAACGATAGTTTTTGAATTTCAGCGGGCTGACGAACCGTGGGGAGGTGTGGCTAACTAATAGTCATCCTGGCCCCGCCTCCAGAGTTTGAATCTAGGGCTGGAGTGGCGGTAAGGCTTCTGATTACCCCGCTGCTTTCCAGGAGCTATGGCGCATTAGGCTTCCAGGCCGACCCGGAGACCCTCTAAATTAGAAGCAGCTGCAGCTCTAAGTTAAACTGGCCTTTTCGATATTTTCTCCGTGCCAGCTTTTTCTGGTGGGATAGGATGGAGGATCGGGAACCCACCTTAGGTATAAATTGGAAATGGCAGGAAATTTCTCGTTTCCTTAGTTTGCTGGAAAGGCTGTGTTTCTGGTGTCGCAGCTTTTAGTGATGCTGTTTATACTGTTTTCCTTCATGTTGTCATACTATGGGAGTCCTCTCAGTACTCAAAGGCTTTGTCTCACTTTTCATTTCTTCTAAAAAGCATTTTTATTGAGCACTTCGTACAGCTAAGTGTTTCTGTATGAAGATCACTGGCAGGTTTTTTGTTGTTTGTAAGAGTCACAAGCATATTTCTTTTTTGGACACTTTTTTTCCCTTTGATTTCTAACTTGCAGACCTTAAGTTACTTAGTTGCACAAAGTATAAGCAACACAACTTTTTCTTTAAAAACGAAAAGGACTTAACTGTCAAGAGTTTTGCACTTATATTTTACGAAGACTTTTAATGTCTGTGACAAAATGACATTGCACTTGTTAGAAAAGTGACACTTTAGCTAGAGTGAGTACATGAAGACATTGAGTTGTATGTTTTCCTGTAGCACATGGGTCGTCTGAGAATAGGAAATTTAAAACTGGCACTGCTAGTTGCAATAACAGAAGCATTACAGTTCACACCTTAATAGTCCAACGGAAGTTAGACATTCCGTTGGCACATATCTGTATGGAAGCATAGGGCTTCACTTATACTGTAGAGTCAGAATACCAGAGTTCAGGTTCTAGCTTTGACACTATGGAATAGGCCAACTTATTCATCTCGCTGAGCCTCATTTCCCACATATGAGTAATACTAAAGATTAGCTCATTCTCTTGTGAGGATTTATTAATAATGATAAATTTATTGAGCACGCATGTTGGGCATTTGTTAGTGAACAAAGCAGACAATAAATCCCAGCTGTTAGGGAGCTTACATGGAAGAAACTAAGCGAAATTTTATATGTATGTGAAGTGTTGAGTTTGGTGGTTGTGATAGAATAAATCATAAATAAGTAGGTGTCTTAATCTAAAAGAATGTGGTGCTTGCTTGCTACATGTTTTGGGAGAGACAAAATAGGTAATATATATGAGTAATCTATATGTTGTGCTTTTTATCCCTTACTAAATATTTTTCCGGTTTCTAACTGCAGTGGACAGTAAGAACCAAAGGAATGTAAGTAGACATCAGTAACTAGGCCCAGACTTTTAACATGGCTCACACATTTCACTGGAGAATGCTGTTGAATGCCATTGCACTCCTATGATTTTTTTTTAAATTACTTTGTAGGCCGGGCGCGGTGGCTCAAGCCTGTAATCCCAGCACTTTGGGAGGCCGAGGCGGGTGGATCACAAGGTCAAGAGATCAAGACCATCCTGGTCAACATGG